AGGAAAAGCCATCCGATGAGTTTCTGGAGCGTACCCAGCACCCTTTACGGAGATGGCGGATTGGATCAAGTCGGCCTCGATTGTTACAAAGAAGGGAGATATAGATGAATATGCGCACCTCATGTGGTCCCGGTGTCTAGGCCTCGCCTGGCTGGGGCTGCAGGTTTTTTGAGACTTTTTCCCGCGCACGCAGTTTCCATTGCTACCATTATTATTATTTATTTTTGGGTAGAAGGTTCCGTGGAAAAGGTGGCCGAATGCCACGGGTAAACACTGAGCTGAATGGCTATTCATCATGGGGAATATATCAATGATCTAAAAGTAACAAAAGAGGATAGGAGCACTGTACCAGGTGTGGCCTGAGCCAGAGAGGAGACTAATGTGCTAGATAGTCTATGACTCAAGTAGTACAATAAAAATAGACACACACACCTCTGCCTGAGTATCCCTCGACGCGACAAGCTGATTTGCCCTTTCTAAGTTCTATACCACAACTTGTCCCAGGCATCCCACCTACAGAGACCAATAGTGATAACACCCTACCTAGATTGGGAGGCGCGTGCAAAAATATTTGTGAAGCAAGAAGTAGAAATAGTTAGAGCCCAGGAAGACCAGCCTCAAAAATGCAGTAGATGGTAAATCTTTGAAATATGATACATGAGGTGTGTGGCAAGACTCAAACAACCCCTTAATGTTAGAGATGTAGAGTCCGGCATCTCGAGTCAGAGTGGAGCAGGAACTAAGCCACTAGAGCCGTAGATACTGGCGTCCGTCTCTATAGATAGTTTAGTAGGCACTGCGGGTTCGAGCTTTGGCTCGGCGCCCCAAAGGACTTTTAAAAAAAAACACCCAACTCGAGAAATTCTAAAATTTCCTTGTCCCATTTTCCTCCCTTCTCGAAATCGTCGCATCCATCTTGAATTGTGATTTTGCTCATTAGATTTTTAAAAATGCCTCCTGTCCGAAAAAAGCGCCCTAACGCCACGTTGGATAACTCAAGAGTCCACCAGAGGACTTTAGCAAAATTATCTGGCCTTAACCGGTCTCCAAAATGCGCGGGGGCGGGGCGGGCCAGGCCGTTTCAAAATGGAAGGAAAAGATCCTTCACTTAGTCAACGAGCCTGGTACTAACGTGGCCGGGTCAGTCAAAATTGTTGAGGAACTTTGTCAACCAGCCTTCATTCCCTATGGGGTAAAAGGACCGTCAAATCTCTCTCCGAACGAGCCAAAATCTTCGGATACAACTGCACCAATTGCAGCTTCAACCTGAGAGTGAGGAGGGCAAGACAGAACACCTGTACGCGGTGTCCTCTACGAACCTGGGAGAGAAATATTCTTCCCCGAGCTAAGTTCAGTCAAATTTCGCAACATCAAAGAAGTTGGCCCACGAGACAAAATTTAAAATTACTCTATGTCATTTTTCCGCTCCCAACGAGTTTGACGCCTACCTAAGTCTCATTAAGTCTACAAGTACGACCTAGTACATCCTCATCCCTATGACCACACTTCTCTCCGATCTTCTCTGGCCTCAGTTGACCACCAAATACACGCCCGCGCCGATATTTACGCCCGACGGAGGAAGCAAAGCGTGGCGCACAAATCTAGGAGACAGTTCTTTGGGATGGACGTGAGAGAGATCAGGACAAGTTGACAAGATGATGCAAAGGAAGGATATAACCTCGATGGCCACGAATCTCGGAATTTTGGCAAGAGTTTTACGAATGGAGCTTTGTGCACTCCAAGACTTCGCTTGCGAGAGTGCAGCTGACACTATAAAAACAAGTCAACGATGGAAGGATCCGTGTTCCGCCTCTTGGTGGTGTTCTCCGGTATGGTCTGAGTAGCCTGGGCACCTAATCCACTTAGGAAGGAGACATCTCAGATCGCATTTCGCGCGGAGAAAAGTTGAAAGATGACGGAGGCATGTCTGGATAACTCTGAGTTTTTGAGTTTTTGAGACGTTCCCTTGGGTGGGTATTCACGGATGAGGATTGACTTGGGGTGAAGAAAAAGCCGCCATAACTTTGCAGAGGTACTTGCAAATCAAATCTGAGGCATGAGTGCTCTTCCTTTACATTGAATCATCTATTCTGTACTATTCTTTGATATTGTGTCATAGCTAGATAGCTGCATACGCAATTAAAATCTGATGCAAAAAAAACCTCCCCAAAGAGTCACTGCCTCAAGCTGCCTCCAAAGCAGATTGCCCTCAAGAACTTCAGCTAATTCTCGAAGTCGAAGAACGAGGCGCCGCCGAAACAGCAGCGAATCTGGCACTCTGTCTGCCGCCATCTCTGACGTCGAAGCAACTCTCCTCCCCTTCAATAACAGGTCTAATAGCCAATTTGCAGGCTCTCATCGGGTCTACTTACGCGCTACCATCGCGCAATACATAGCCTCAGGCCTGGCCTTCACTCCACCCGACCTTCTTCCTCGCCCGACGAATCCTATCCCAAGGGCTCCCGACGCAAGGAGTACAATGATACACGTCGTTCCAGCGTAGCCTCTAAAAGGCACCTGGACCACTGTGGCACAAAATAGACTGCGACAAAAAGCAGACCCTACTGTAAAGGCTATGCCGCAATCTGTAGCTACAGGCCCAAAGAAAGACGCTCCGAAGGCGAGAGTTGACAAACAACTCTTCCTTCGCCTCCATAGCGATCACCTGTTGCGCAAACTATCCACTATTGTCATGATGAGCAATGTGGAGAGTGCTTTGCATTATATGCATGATAAATTCAGCTTGATTCATCAAGGGAAGACCGGCTTTGCTATTTTGGCAAATAATGAAAAATTACGACGAGAGATTTTAGATACTTCTTCGAAGCTGGCGAGTCTCAACCCCAAGACTCGGTACATCTTTGTGTCTGGTCGCCTTACGGATCTCAAATGCACCCGTAGGTATGCTAACACCCCTTGGCCCTAGAATGTTCGATTCTGAGCGGGTCTCCCTCGTGATCGCCATTACAACCGAAATTACATCAATCCAGGCCCAAACTCATTGGACGTGCTGAACTGGTGCCCCGTATCTTAATTAGCATTCCATCTTTCCTCGGGACTCTGCCACTTGTTCGGGATTCAGCCTTTCGGACGAGTCTAGAATGGCCACAAAGCACAAGCATCGTCGCCAAATCGAACAGTTTAAACACTGTCTGGGCATCCACGCCACTCATGGTTGCTCTCGCGCTCCAGTTTGCCGGAACTGCGGACCCAACATGCACTCTGATGTTGAGAGAAAGGCTCTCACCTGGTGTCAAATCTGTGGGGCACCGTACCGATCAGATTCCGGGATGGCCAAGCTAGACCCGGAAAACTCGGACCGGTGACAAAGAGCAACTCGCGATGATTCGTAAATAAGAGCAAGAAAGGTTTACAATGTCAGCACGAGCAAAGGTTGCAGCCAAAAGGGCCGAAGAAGCAATTATCGCCTCTATCATGGACATGTTTATGGCAGAGAGGTCGGGCTTGGGAATTCTGGAATCCAAAGAAGAAGCTTGAGGGCACAGCGACCTCGATAAAGCTTTTTAGGCGTTACAAACTGTCGAATAATAGGATACAGGTTTTTGGATGTGCACAAAGCAAGTTTGCTCAAGTTTTGACGGTAATAATGATTCGGATGATGTAGTAACAAGTGAGTGGTTATTAGTTATAGCTATGTTTGAATAAAGGGTTAGATGATACAGTAATACACCATTCGGGCAGCTCTCCTACGTAGAGTGTGTGTGTGTTTATTGTACTACTTGAGTCATAGACTGTACACTACATTGGGCTCCTCTCTGGCTCAGGCCACACCTTGTACAGAGCTCCTATCCTCTCTTGTTACTTTTAGATCATTGATATATTCCCCATGATGAATAGCCATTCAGCTCAGTGTTTACCCGTGGCATTCGGCCACCTTTTCCACGGAACCTTCTACCCAAAAATAAATAATAATAATGGTAGCAATGGAAACTGCGTGCGCGGGAAAAAGTCTCAAAAAACCTGCAGCCCCAGCCAGGCGAGGCCTAGACACCGGGACCACATGAAGTGCGCATATTCATCTATATCTCCCTTCTTTGTAACAATCGAGGCCGACTTGATCCAATCCGCCATCTCCGTAAAGGGTGCTGGGTACGCTCCGGAAACTCATCGGATGGCTTTTCCTCCATGATAAAGGGTTGGTGGTGAGTAGGGCTCCGACCCTACCATCTGATCTGATGGTGGTTAGCTTCATGATAATGGTGATAGGGGAATGTGTTGAGAGATGAAGACGATACACACCGCGAAAGCGATTGGGAATCCTCTTCGAAGTGAGGACTTTATCACTCAATCTCGGCTCTCCAGACTCTACGGTGAGAGCTGGAGGTTCGTAGGGGACACCACTGACAGGTGTTGAGAATAGTCCCCCCTCAGGCAGAGGTATCAGCGTTTACAATCATTGGCATAAGTGGCCTGCCTGATTTTGTCGTGTAGCAGTACCTTGAAATTTTGTCGTATCGAATCAGCACAGGGTTTGTGCTTGACAAGGTAAATATCTATGTCTCTACACTAAGACTACATCTTTTTGAACATCTTGAGCTCAATGAAGTCTAATAGGCGCTTTCTAAACACAATTTCATATTCCTAAAAAATGTGGAGCTATCTGGTCGGGAACCCCCGGATTTACCGGAACATTGATTGCATAAGCGAGAACTAGTATTAAGCGCTCTAAAAAGGCTATCCTCAAGTGGATGAGGTTCATCGATTGTCCATGGAGATATTATCAATATGTCAATTCTGCCAGTATCTATTGTTTTTGTATCCTGATAAATCTCGATCTACTCCTAGACCCATAAATAAATTCTTCAATACGCTCTTATCCTTTAAAGGCTGGGTCCAGGAGCTAATTTAATTGGGCTTACAATGCACTGAACTCGACTTTGTCCTAGAGGTTGAATAGGCGAGCGGCATATATTGAAACACTTTCCTCCATCCATACTTTCTTTGCATCTCAAAATTAACGCAGCATCGGAATTTTCAAAATGAATTTGCCAGACCTCACGGCAAAGCCTGGATATGATGTCTTGATGTCAACTTTAATTTCTTTGAGGGAAAAACACAAGGCTACTGAGGAATCTACATCAGATGAAGACGTTGGCAACTTTAGAATGGCCGAGTGCGCAGGTGGTTATGAAAATTCATTTCTACTCAATATCATTCGCAGTGATTTAGGTTGGATTTCCTTAGAAAATAGGGATATTGTTTATGATGCGGCTAGTAAATATATGGCCGAAAAATGTGGAAGAGCTGGTATGTCAAATATTTATTAATATGATTATTCCAGGAATTTTGAGCAACCTTGATATGCTTAAGAATTCGAATTACCTCTTAACACCATCTTCCATCCTACCTAACAATATCCACTATTTATCATTTCCTGTCAGTTCCGCTCTGGTTATCACCCACTAAACTCTTCTATATTTCTGGCTTAATAGTGAAGGTCCCCTATAGATTCTAATGCAGCGAAACAAACAGCTATGCCAGAAATGAGCCGTACATGGGCTATTCCGACATGCGAAAACCAACCCGAAATAAATTTTATTCTACGTGAGCCTTCTATCACCGGTGATAACCTAGGACTCAAAACCTGGGCAACATCGTTTGTTGTTGCCAAAGATCTGATATCGCTGGGTCGTGATTATTTTCGTCATATTTTAGATCCTTGTGGAGATGACTCCAAAAACTTGGCGGTCTCGCAAATAAGTCAACGTTGCGCTCGGGTCCTTGAACGTATGTCAAGCGTCTTTCAGTACCATATATCCTCCCATAAGCATTATAACCAAGATTAATTCCCGGAATCATAAAATGTGAAGTAATCTTCAAATATCGGTAATCAGTTTTTATTTTGAAATCAACGCTAATCTTGTCGTAGTGGGGTCAGGAACAGGCCTGTTAGGAATGGCAGCTGCATCTGTTTGGGGCACATCGGTCCTTTCCACAGACATCGAAGCGATACAGGATAACCTCCTCTTTAATATTCACGAGAATTTAGATAAGATCTCCCTACGGGCTGGTGCATCTATATCTTGTCAAACCCTTGATTGGAGATTCCCCGAAGAAACATCTCCAATGCCCCAGGCATTCGAGGTGCGTAACGATATTTTTTGCAACTTTTCAATAACTTAAGTCTCTAGCTTATTCTCGTGGCTGATCCTCTATACGATGATATCCATCCACTAGCTCTTGCGCACACTATCGACTATTTTCTACAGAAGAATTCATGTGCTCGAGTACTAATAGCAATCCCTTATCGTGACGAGCATACTATCGCCCTTTTCAAAGAATTAGAAGATCAGATGTTTTCTCGAAATTTCGAGCTAGTTGATACGGATTCAAAAGTTTGTAGAGATAAAGACTGGGTGGTTAAAACCGTAACTAAAGATGTTATGGTCAACTCAACGATATGGAAACGCCACGACTCAACCTCTTAAGCTCTAATTCAAGAATTCATCTACCATTGCTGCTTTTGTGCGGAAAATAGGGATATTAAAACGAACCTAGGCGTCGTGTAGCTTTCGATGCCCCAAAGTCTCTTGGCTGCGGGCTGATTCATTCTTCAAAATTAGCTCATATCCACCTTTTATCAATACAAAATCTAATAGAAGTCAGAGTTTAAATTGAATTGAGGTTGAAGATTGATTACCAATTTATTGATTTTCTATGCTCGCGTGGGTATGAGCACCGCTCAAGAATTTTTCGAAAAACTTTATTCCTTGGCTTTGGATATTCGAAACAGCGTCTAATTGATAATTTCATTTACCACTCCAAGCTTTCAATTGAAATAATTAGGGTTGCCTCATTTCCTCCTATACCTCAATTCTGATATAAATCACGTGAAACCACAAAAATTATTGTAATTGTGAAGTTAGAGAGGAAAGGTTAAAGCTGAAAACACATATAGTTGATCTACTTTTCATAGTTTTACTTTTCGCTAAGAGAGCTAGCGATAACAAGACGAATTCACTTCCACTGCACAGGGAATTTCGAATCACCGGCCACTCAGGTCGCCGTGTAGACTCTCAACCTGTTCAACTCGAAAATTTTCTCTCTGGTCATCTCAGTCATCTCAGCACTCTCCGAAAAACTATAGGTATCATATTTGTATCAGATATGGTTGCGACGGAGAGATGGTCTCAAGTTGACGTTGACACAATTTTCAACTTAAAATATTGTCAAGGATGGTCCGAGCCAAAAATTACCGACTTCATGGTTGCCAACTCTCGAAGTCGCCGAAATGTCAAGGTTGCTGGAATTCGATATGTTCTTAGGAATAGACGACCATCGTAAGTATAAATGACCGTGATTCTATGGTCCTTTAATAATACGCAGAATTCCTCAGAGCTACAACAATAGGTTATCTCAAAAAGACGCAAGGTTCAACACTTACAAAAATCTCGGCCGAAATTGAGCACCCTAAATCTTCAATTTACTCGTACAAAGCTCCACTCATCAAAGACTATGGGCAGAAATTCAGCTTATCTATGACTGATCAACAGCCATTAAATCTTGAATTGCCGCAGCTCTTATATCCTGATAATTTACAGGTGTCAGTACCACACACTAATTCACATAGCCAGCTACAACAAAGCCAAATAAGTATGCAAACTTGTTTATTTCCTTCCCAACCTACCTTACAGAAAATATGTAATGTAAGTCGTTTACCTAACATTCAATATGGTCAAAGTATTTAGTTGCAATAGCGTAGGCAGTCACAGCCTCTTAACGAAGGTGCTCAGGAGCAAGTTTTCCGCTTAGAAAACCAGCAACTCACTCAACAAAGTTTGAACTTGGATACAAACCAGAGCCTCCACTGGAATCAGTTTGATCCCAACTATAGCGAACTCAGCTTAGGACTTCCACAAAACGCTGATGCATTGACAAGGAATAATGAGATTTTAGAATCTATGGGGCAACTGAACCGTCGTGGTCAGGATTCAAGGAGGATAGAGAATAAAACTGAAGATATATCAGAGGATGATATAACTTTGCTCCAACTTCAAAGAACCAATTTTATAAATAAAAATATAGACATTTGCGAGAAGGCCCAGAGACAAGCCCCTCAAGAACAAGTAAGTGAACAGCTATTACAAGCTCAAATGATGCCGCCCCACCATAAGTATCACTATAATACAGCAATACAAGAACAAAGTTTGTATGATACTACAACCTCAGAAAGCGAAGCCTGGAGTAGCTCTTCAGTATCACTAGCACAGCCTTGGGTTGATTCTTTTGATCCTGATCTTATTTCTGGAGCTGAAAAATGTACGAATTGGCCTCATTACCCGCCCATTTCAAAGCAGCTTCCCTGGATTGAATCAAAAATTCCACCAGTAGCTCTAAATGAACAACCAAGACATATCACAGGTCAAAAAAATGATACCAAACAGAATTCGAGTTATTCAAATAATGATGATAACTCGTCGCCTAGTTTACCTTGTCAAAGAATAATACCTCAACTCGAATGCCCAAAACGCCAAGATTGTGTAAACACGTTTACCTCAATTGGATCAAATATTAAGAGTGTCCAGGAGACTAACTTTGAGCACAACTTGGATGACCTGGTTGGAGAAATTTTGAATAGTCTTCCGCATTCGCAACAAAAGAAAACTCCAAAAATAGATATGAAAAAGGATCTAATTCAAAAAGGTTATAAAGCCAATTCGTTGATAGATACAAAGGATATGTATTCTATGTGTGAATTTCCTCTTTCATCCCAATCTAATTTCCCTGAAAGTCCTGAGAGTCTAATTCCACCGCAATATTTCAATCCCTTGCCTCAGTATTCCAATCAACAAGGTATTTGCAACTTGAAATCTAAATGGCCAGGTGGTCACGATTATGGTCAAGAAACAAGCAACAGTCCACAAGACACAATTTACAGAATGAATGAGCCACCTTTGGATAATCTATATGGATATAAACAACAGCCTGGTCCAGGGAAAAATCCTGTAATTAAGACAAACAAGTTTGGAGGCATCAGAGGGGCACCATCTTTAAACACTTCATACTGGGATCTTCCTCTCGATCCACTATGTACTGCCAGCTTTTATGAAGATTGGCCCACAACTCAGAATCAAAAATATATTTGGGCTCAGCAAATATCCCAGATTACGAGCAATTTGAAATTGCATGACAATCCTAATGTAATGTCACAACATTCTTTGCCTGAGACCAATACGAGGGAATCAACTAGCAACTTTCCGACTCAAGAAGTACCCATCATCCTTCCAGATACAGCGATTAGAAATCAAAATACTCATAGACGCGAAAAGTTATGTGGCGTAGCTTCTGATATATCTACCTCTACTATCGATAAGACTGTGACTGGTAGCCTTAATGCCGAGAATCTAAAACTTAAAGTTGATAATACTTTCGACACAAAAGCATCAGAGTTTTGTCCAAGTTTCTCAATTGATGATTCTACTGTACCTCTCCAAAGTACCAAGGTGTTGGTTGACATTGTCGAAAAGTGTGATAAGCCCTACGATTGTGCAGCTGATGGAATAAATATAACTCATAACGGGAAAGTGTGCCATCAAAACTTTGAAATCAACCGTCAAGACTTCATCCAAACTGAGTCAGGTGAATCTGATTTAATACCCAGCAACTTAATCCAGTCTAGTGTTGTAGAACCAGAAACAGCCGTATTTCAAAACTCTACTCACGAAATAGGAATTAGATCTACGGGAATTTTGATAAATCATGTATCACCTATAGGCCAAAAAACCCAACTTATACGGAAACATGAAGCTCAAAGTTGTAATAAGAATCAGAAAGACATCCATCAAGAGACTTCTAAGCTGTGCAACTTCAAAAAAGATAAAATATTCCATGCAAGAAGAGGAAACTCGAGACTCAAACTAGCACCACAAAACCAATATCAGAGTCAACGTAATAATTTGAAAACAAAAAGACAGACAGCTATGGGAACACCTGATAATAATTTTATCCAATATCAATCTAAGCGAGATGGCACCAATGATAGTACAAGTGCTAAAGTATTGAAGGAAGATTCAAGAGAACCTTCAACTTTAAAGATTCAGACTGAAAATCTAAAGACGACAAAAGAATTGAAGCCCACAGGGCTAGACTCATCCTTTTCATTCCAAGCGATCGAGTCACTACATCTAAAAATGAGAACTGATTCTCATGAGATATCCTTGAAGCGTGTATCTCCATCGGCAGATACGGACAGTATGATATCTGTCAAGAGAAGAAATTTAAACGAGTGAAGTTCTACAAACTTGTGATGTATTTCTGTAAAAATAATGGCAAATCTAAGGCTGAGGTGAATGTTTTACATTTGTATGTTAATAATCAAATGTTATTACATGGGAAAAGTTGTAGGATCTCCCTAACATCATCGTCATACTTTGTTCTTCAACGCTATTTAATCGACCCCTGTAATCTTAGAGCAAATAACTTATGAATAACGTTTAAATGTCGTCATACGGTGGTAATTGTTGGAATGATAGGAGCCAAGTAACCACATTAATTTACACAAGGAGTTTACTCAATGTCCAGAATAGTCTGTTTCAATAGATTAGAGTAGAGGAACAAAATTCAGCAACACAACCGCAGAAACGTGATATACAGTTTACGTTCTTTGTATCGTGTTTAAGTATCCCGATAATAAGCTTTGAACATATTATCATCACAATGTTACAGATTCATTCGAGACTTCATAGTCGCATAGCCATGAACATGAAGAGGCCCTGTCATGGACTGAGAATAGAGTAGCACCCCCGTATTCTTTCCCTACACAGTGTGCGGATGTTTACTCATCTTTAAATGGTGACTGGGTTAAAATGGTTGCCATGGGTTACTATTATGATTGTTATATTTGATTTTGAATTTGAATTTGATTTCATTTAGCCCGATTTGGCGCCATAAGGCCCATGCAGGTGTCTACGGACTCTAATATTTGTTTAGGGGGAAAACCTTTATGGTATTTTTGCCAGAAAGCTGCGCAGCGCTCCACGCTGCTCGTATCATCAATTTGACATCGTGATTCTTATTTTTACATCTTTATTACCCTCCTCTCATCTTTTCGCTTTCCGTGCTCCAACATGGCGAGTGTGGGTGCTGGTGTGGGTAAATCCAGCGGATTCGACGCGTCGCAAAATGCGACAATGGCACAATCAAACAACGGCGGCGGAGCGCAAACAGCTCCAAAGGATAAGAACCTTGAAATTTTAGGGAAACTATTGAAAAAGGTCAGACTAATCGTGATGGGAGAGGTGGATGAGGAGGACCTACCCTCAATGGAGGACGTGAAAGAGGCCGTCAAGGCCTTCAACGCGCACAAAAGGGCCTGGACGGAAATGTCCCAGAAGAAGTCTCCTATCGAGGAGAGGATGATGGCTTTAGAGGAAGTCGTGAAGAAAAGCCTCGCGGATACCGCTCGGAAAGCTGCTCCAGCAGCGGTTTCGGGCGCGCCGACACCAAGGAGTTACGCGTCGGCCGTAGCTCCGCAAATGGCGAAAACGGCGGTCAGAATAAGAATTGACGGCGCACAAAACTTGCAGCCACAAGAGCTGCTAACATAGGCACAACAACACATTAAAGGCGCATACGCGATTCGCCAAATGCGAAGCAACGACACTGAGGTGTTCGTCCAGTCGGCGTCCCAGAGAGACGTGGCGCTAAACATACGACAACCAAGCGAATTTAAAAATTTGGGGCAAGACTTTCCTGTTGAGGTTTCCGGAGTCCCATTGCGGACAAGAATTGAAGGGGGCAGAGATGCCAATAATTTTGCTATCATCAGGGAAATAGAGACGGCAACAAAGGCAAGGATTCCAGGCTTAGTGATAAGTCGTATAAGGTGGTTACACGACGGAAAGGAACATCAGCGGTCAAAGAAAAATGGCCGCACTCGTGGATCAATAGTGGTAAGCCTCCCATCGGAGGCAATGCAGACGAAAGTAGTTCGAAACGGCCTTGTGATGAGCGCCATGCTCTACACCGCGCAGGTGTGGTCACCACGGTCACAGCCAAAGCAGTGTTACAACTGCAGCCAGTGGGGACACACGCAGGCGTCGTGTGGAAAGGCAGCCAGGTGCGGTGAGTGCGCTGGCGCTCACCAAACTCGGGACTGTCCGAGGAAAAGGGTTTCTTGTGCGAACTGCGGCAAGGAGCACCGTTCGTGGCAGAAAGCAGCGTGTCGGACCTACCAGGTCTACAAGGGAAGTGTGGAGAAGGCTCGGATGGAGCTATTATCGAGGACGGCGGAAATATGGAACGAGAAACCTACGGTGGCGCCAATGCGAACAGTCGAAACGACTTATGATCAAGGATTCACTTTGGTCACCAGTAAAAAGGCTGAAGTACTCAAAAGAGGGCCAGGACGACCGCGTAAGGTAGTCGAAGCCCCAGCGGCACCAATAATCGCCTCGACAGCAGCACCGCCATCGGGACCGACTCTTCGAACACTTCGAAGACCAACGCCGAGTGAGGAGGTGCCTTCTCTTTTTAATTTTTCATAACGTTAGTCTGATTGAAGGGGGAGTTAACGAATTTCGAGGAAAGTTTTCATAATTGCGGTTGAAAGGAACGTCCTCAGCATAAAGCCGGGTCGGTTCAAAGTGGCAGGACATCGGGTTTTGTTTGTTGAAAGCTTTTTCCCTTACCAAAGCGGCTTACCGTCTTCATGGTTCTGTATATAGATACCGCATAGGACGTTAAACTAGATCAATGAATAAATGAATGATTGAAACCTTTTTGGTAAAAACCCCCTCAGCTTTTCAATTTATATACACTTTTAAAGTTGTGTTACCTTCAGGAAGTGCACCAATACTGTCATGTCCAGTGCTGATACCGTCCACTCCCTTACTTATGGCAGAAGATCATCTTTCCCCTACTGCCCTCTCTGTCACTCATCATGGCTTCGACTTCAAGCGTCAGTCGAAACTGCTCTAACCTTCCTTCCTTTTGTATCCACTTTGTTATTCTAGCCATATCTTTCGGGTTATTCATCATCTGTGACGGAAACCGAGTTGGTAATGAATAAATCGATTTATTAAACTATATGAAGAGGAAAGAAATCTCTAGCTACTACTAACAGGTACTTATAACGTTTCGTCCGCTTCGTGAATCTGCTGACTGATAACTTCCCCCTAGGCCTAATACTTGCTACTGAGCCAAGCATTATCAGGAGCCATTACGCTATGATGTTGCTTCGACCTCCTGGCTAGTAGTGCTATTTCATCTCTATTTGCCCATCCTTCCTCTCTCAGTCTTATCGTAATTATTCCTAATTAAACGCTTAGGTTTCCTCCTAAGCTAAAACAACGGTCAAACCGTAACATTACCCCCCCGTTTACCCTCTCTTCTTCTCCTTCCTTGACGTTGGACCATTATTTATCTCCGCTGAGCCCCATTTCTCCTCCCAAACGTCGAGTGCTAGAGCATCTTGTAAATTTGTAAGTGATGTCCACTCTGGTTGCGCCATTCCTGTCCACTTAACCAAAGCCTGTCTTTCTCCCTTTCTTGTCCTGCATCTAAGCACTTCATCAATTTGGTACTCTTCCTCGCTATCATCACCAGTGATAGGGCCTGGATTTTCGTCCTCAAGAATTTGAGATGGCAACGGATTTTCTTCTGCTGGTAAGAGCATATCCACGTGGAACTTATTATGTATCTTCCCAGGAATATTGAGCTGCACTACTTCAGGCGAAATAATTTTTGTTACAGTATATTTTGCATGCTGCCACCCCAACTTTTTGGAAGGTTGGTCCTCTAACCTAATATTTCGCAGCAGTAGCCAAACTTTATCACCTACCACATATCTAGGTGCTGGTTGTCTCTTTTTGTCCGTCAATTCTTTAAAGCGTTCTTGAACGGCTGCCATTGCGGATTGCATAAAGATCGTAGTTTCTTCCAGTCGCTCGACAAATTTTTCAGCCCTTTCCTTTCCTGTTGATGCAGAAATAGTTGAATCTTCGGAAGTGGTTTGGATAGGATTGACATGGTACCCATGTGTCGCGAAAAACGGACTTATGCCGCCAAAGGATACCACATCTCGATTATTAATTGCAAGTTGAGCCGCAGCAAGACAATCAGACCAATCATGTTGGGTGTAGGAAACATATGCCCGTAAGTAGGTTTGAACTTCCTGGTTCATTCTTTCCGTTGCCCCGTCAGTTTGAGGATGATAGGCTGTGCTTAATCTCTGTTCTATTCCAACCAATTCACACAATCGTCTCCAGAACTTACTTGTCCAGTTAGTACCTCTATCGCTAGTTAAGGCTTTCGGGAACCCATGATAACGCCAGTGACATTCCAGAAATCTCTTAGCACAAGACTCCGAATCCATTTTCTCCATGGCCTCTAGTGTCACCGATTTTAACAATCTGTCAGTGATTACCATAATATTTGTTGCTCCATTTGAGTTTGGTAATTCTACCATGAAGTCTATAGAAAGCTCTTGATGAAATCTATCGGGTACTGGCAGTGGCTTAAGAAGTCCTTTTTTCTGATGTCGCCAGATTGATGATCTTCCACACACATGGCAATTTTTACAGAAGCGCTTGACTGATTTGCTTATTCCAGGCCAAAAATATTCTCGTGCGACATGGGCAAGCGTTGCATCTCTTCCAGGATGACCAGCGACGGCTGAGTCATGAATGTTCTGTATAAGGGCTGTTGTAAGAGGCTCAAAAAGAGGTACCCATATTCGCCCTTGATACCTAACTACTCCCATAGCTTCGTCAAATTCGCATGCAGCGATCGTTGCTTTGATTTGACTAGCCTCTTCCGAACCTTCTATTTGTAACTTGAGGTCCTTAGGCCACGCACGCTCTCCGCTTTGCACCGCATTTACTACTTTAATATATGTTTTGTCGCTTTCTACTGCTTGATCCCAAAGCTCCTGTAAGTCTTTATTGACAAATATTTCATGGCCTTCTGCAATACAAGTACCATTTATACACAACCTTGAAGCGTTAATTGGGTTTAAAACTTGGCGTTCGCGGCTCAAAAGTCGAGGGTCGCCTTCCACTGGTCTATCCTGGTCCCTTCTTGAGAGTGCATCCGGACGTTCGCTATCTACCCCTTTTCTATACACCAGTGTGTACCTGAATCTCGATAGGAATTCAGCCCATCGGGTTTGCCGCTCTGTCAACCGTCTTGTGGTGAGGAAATATTTTAGGTTCATGTGGTCACTTAAGATAGTGAAAGCTTGCGCTAGACCCCTCAGCTCTGCATCCCATTCCTTCATACTAGCTACAAT